CCCTGCCTGCCTCCCCTCACCCGCCTCCGCTCTGCATGGAAATAACTTGGCTTACACAGCTGTGTGTGTCTGTGTGCGTGTCTCCGACTGGGGTTGCTCTGCATCACGTTTTAACTTTGGACTCACAGATGTGTCCTCACCACGGTTGTCTTGTGGTTTTTCTTTTTTTTCCTTTCTTCCCTCCTTGGTCTTTCCTGTAAGTGTCCAAACAAGGAGGCGGCTCCGAGGAGAGGGCCAGGCCTCTCCGCCCCAGAGCCTGTGTCTCACTGTTAGGTGTGCATTTCCTTAGCTGAAAAGCCGGTCTGCAGCGGATTCAGAGACCTGGGGTGTAGTCACTGTGTGGCCGAACGGAGCCGGTTCCAGACTGCGTGCGGTCCGAGGCGCACAGCGGGCAGGAGCGCGCCCCTGCGTTGGCTACGCCTGGCTTTCTGCCAGAGGAAATGGGCTCTGCAGCTCCCGATGCTGCGTTCCCTCCTCCGTGTATTTTTCTTTCCACATCCATCTGTGCCGTCTGAACAATCTTGAGATGCCTCCATGTGCTGTCCCTGCCTGTCTCTGTGTTGGTTTGTGACGCCATCGGCGTGTGTGTCGACGGCTGGTCTCAGCGCTGTTGTAAGTGTGGGTGTGCGACAAGTGAGGAGTGAAGCAAGTTATTTCCTGCTCATTTTCCTTTCAGTTCCCCTTAGCCTTGCTTTGCTTTGTCTCCTGAGACCTCGTGGATCCGCCACCCTGCCCATTTTGTTGTCCCTCCCACCGCGCCAGGAAGACCCTGTGTCCTTGGTCCTGGTTACATTTGCCAATTTCTTGTCTGATTTCCATTTTACTTCCAATGCTTTCCATGCATATCCAAGACGATGAGACAGAGTCGACAGAAACATCTGTCCTGAAAAGCCAGCTGGTCACTGAGGCCCCAGCCCTGGCGAGCCCGGACCTGCTCTCGGAAGTCTCTGAGATGAAGCAGGGCCTGCTGAAGATGAGTGCCCTGCTGACCACAGATGCGGCCGACAGGGCGGGGCCGCTCAGGGACAAGGAGCCGGCTGGGCCCTCCCAGGAGGAGCCGGGGGAGCCCTTTGAAATCGTGGAGAAAGTGAAGGAGGACTTAGAGAAGGTGAACGAGATCCTGAGGGGGGCGTGCTCGGAGGGGGAGGGCCGTGAGCCGGGGCCCCAGCAGGACGAGGAGTGGGTAGTTGTCAGTGACGAGGAGATAGCGGAGGCCAAGCAGAGGGCACCCCTGGAAGTCCCCGAGGTCCCCTGTGTGGAAGTGAGACTAGCGAGGGAGACCCCAGCCCAGGGACAGAAGGATGCCACGGGGCTGGTCAACTACCTCATCGAGGACCTGAGCTCCTACACGGCCTCTCCCGGAGGGGCCCCGCAGCCAGTGCCCCGTGCGGCTGGGCGCGCCGGGAGCCAAGGGAAGGACGTTCCCCGAGATGGGACGCAGAGAGCGCAGAAGGAGCGCAAGCCGGGCCTGGGCGTGAAGAAGCCCGCGCGGAGGAAGCTGAGAGAAGACCTGACGCAGAAAGAGGAGGCCGCACAGGCCGGCGCGGGGAAGCTGGGGCTGCGAAAGGGCAGCTCCGAGGAGTCCGCGGAGGAGGACGCGGGGTTAGCGCCGGAGCCGCAGCCCGCGGGGAAGGCCACGTCGCCCTTGGTGGAGGAGACGCCCATCGGCTCCATCAAGGACAAAGTGAAGGCCCTTCAGAAGCGGGTGGAAGACGAACAGAAAGGTCGGAGCAAGTTGCCCGTCCGAGTCAAGGGCAGAGAGGAAGTGCCCCGGAGGGCCAGCCCCAGGCTGCCACCAGCCGCCTCGCCCCCTCTGAAGTCCGACAGGCGGGCACCTGCCCCCCCGGCCTCCAAGGCAGACAGACACTCTTCCCTCGCCGCCTCCGCCAAGTCCGACAGGCATCCTCCCCCATCACCACCGAGTAAAACGGACAGACACTCGCCCGTGTCTCCCTCAACGAAAAACGGACACTCGCCCGTGTCTCCCTCAACGAAAAACGACAAACACTCGCCCGTGTCTCCCTCAGCGAAAAACGACAGACCCTCGCCTGCATCCTTGTCAGGCAAAAACGGGAAACACTCCCCTGTGTCGCCTTCAGGCAGAGCAGACAGACACCCACCTGCGTCGCCATCGCCATCGGGAAGGACGGACAAACATGCACCTGCGTCGCCGGGGAGGACAGACAAGCGCCTGCCCGTGTCCCCGGCGGCCAGGACGGAAAAGCACCCGCCAGGGCCAGCCCCTGGGAAAGCGGAGAAGCGCCTCTCGGCACCCCCGTCTGGGAAAACGGAAAAGGCAGCTCCCGTGTCCCCCACCTCGAGGACCGAGCGCATCGAGGAGACCATGTCCGTGCGGGAGTTGATGAAGGCCTTCCAGTCAGGTCAGGACCCGTCCAAACACAAGGCCGGACTCTTCGAGCACAAATCCCCCAAACCAAAGCCGCCGCAGGAAAAGGGCCGGGCTCGGGCAGAGAAAGAAAAGGGGCAGGGGCCCGCCCAGAGAGAGACCCCGAAAACCGGGAGTCCGCCCCCCAAGCCCGGCCAGAGGTTCCTGGGAGCTGTGGCCACAGGTGCCTCGGGGCCAAGAGAAAACGCCGCTGGAGGGAAGGAGCCGGTGTCGGGCCACACGATGCCGCCACCTGTGGGGCAGGCCCTCGGGGAGGAGCCGGACGAGCGGGGCAATGGGGACCCCCAGATCAGCCCCGACCGCAGAACCTCCACCGACTTCTCGGCGGTGATTAGGCAGGAGCTGGAGGACAACGCCCGGTACCAGCAGTTCTGCCACCGGGAGGAGCCGGAGCCGGCAGAGGCGCAGCTGGTCCCGGAGCAGGTGCTCACCAGCCCCTTCCCCAGGGCCTTCCAGCCGGAGCCGGACAGCGGGGAGCTGCTCCCGGGCCTGGCCTTCCGCCTGGATGGCAGCTGGGAGAACCTGCGGCAGGAGGGGGCGGTGGGGTCCCCGTGTGGCAGCCTGATGGAGGGGACCCCCCAGGCCAGCTCAGAGGAGAGCTACAAGCACGAGGGCCTGGCCGAGACCCCCGAGACCAGCCCAGAGAGCCTTTCCTTCTCACCAAAGCAAAGCCAGGAGCAACCTGGGGAGCCCAGTGAAACCACCCCCTTGGAAACAGACAGTCGTCCGGGTGAAGAACGGTCCTCCACCAAAGACACTGGCGACGCTGCCGGAGAGCCTGGCGTGGCTGTCACCGGGGGCGCTGAGCCCGCAGCCAGGGGTGTGAAGGAGGCCACCCCGGACCTTCCCAGAGAGACGGGCCCCACCCCCGGGGGCGGTGACCTGGGCCACTGCGCTGTGTCCCCAGCGAAGGAGGCTCCTGCCCGTCTGACTGAGGACATGCCCGGTGAGGACGGTCCACCTGCCCAGGAGACACGGACTGAGCCCCGAGCTCAGAGACCCACAAGCCCCGAGCCCGAGGCCCCCGTGATGACTGGCCAGGCCCAGGCCG